CAGGTGGGTGACCCTGCCCACCTGTCAAGCTTGAACTGCTGGGGTGCTTGGAGATAAGGATCTGACCTGTCCGCCAGATCCAGATTGCCTGCCTCTGATTTTTAGCGTCCCATATAAAATTCTGCTCTTTGGCGTATTTTCAAGCTGCACAGAGCAATCCTTTGCATGGTTACTCTGAAATAGTACTTTGTTGTCCAATGCTGTAGACTGGCTACCTAAAAACCTCCATAGCTAAGGTTTAACTAAGCAATGACCTTGTCTTAAACATCTCTCATTTGAAAAGAAAAAAAGAATATATTTTTCCACTCCCCTCTCCCCTTTGGGGCCCTCACATCTCTCTCTCTCCAGGTGAATGACGGCTGTAGGAAACCTTCCTTTAGTGTAAATATCACCCGGCTTTGTTTCCTTTAGGTGTTTTGTGATAAGCACACACAGCATCTGTACAAAGAGCTCCACGTGCCCAATCCAGCAGATGTTTGACTCTGGCTTGGGGAAGTCCCACGAGTTTGTGTTGAGCAGGAGGAGCCAAGCTGAAAAAAAGCCCGGGTGAGGCATTTCTGTTTAAGAGGGCGTGTACGCTTGCGCCTGCCTACTTTCTACGTTTTTTAATAACAATTGGTGACGTGCATATGTATGTGGCCAGTCTTGAAGGAGGGGGTACGGAGAAATGTACTCAAAAAATTATTTCTGCCATTGGGAATATGACATCCTTCTTGAAGGGCTTGGCTATCATTGGGCGCTTAAAAAATCTCATTCTTTTTCTCATTAGCTTTGAAATTAGGCAGAAAGCATCTAAGCCCCCGCCTAATGTCATGAACGACAAGGACTTCCGTGGTGGTTAAGTTCCTTTGCAAAAGCAATTGAAAGTTCCAGTAAGGGGCGTCTGGAGAGCAGAGAGGGTTTTAGACGACAAGAGTTTCACAGAACCGAAAAAAACATTTTTGCAGCGTGAGCATTAATGCTCCCCCTTCACTCCCAGCTTGTCTTGCCCTCAGGGTCCCTGTGGGTTGGGAGAACAAGAGCAAAGTTGCCTAGAAATGCCACCCTTAAGAAACCTGCTTGTGACATCAAAGGTCTCCCCTGTTTTGCCTTTTGTTTGCATCATGTGTTGGGTAGTGTAGACACCATACCATACCAACCCGATCCTGGAAATATAACTTACCTCTGCACCGCTTAATCAAAACCACAGTTCCCACAATTCTGTTTTTTTGGGGGGTTGGTTGGTGGGGATGTGTTTTAAAGGTATGGAGCTGGTGTTTCAAAAATTAGCCAGGGGCCTTCGACCACTTTTTGCAAACCAAGTGAAGATGGCTGAGGGTCACGTAGGAAACGCAAGGAATAATAATAATAATAATAATAATAATGATAATAATAATAATAATAATTTTTGTTTATACCTCCACCATCTGGCTGGGTTCCGCCAGCCACTCTGGGTATATAAGCTGGATGTCAAATGGTTCCTTAAAACCAAGGTTACAGTCACCAAAACAGAATGCTGTTTTGGAACAAGATGGCTCTAAAGTCATGTAGTCAAACCTCGGTCCCTGAATGCCTCTGTTTTGAAACGCTTTGGCTCTTGAACATTGAAAACCCAGAATTAAATCCTCCAGTTTTCGAACGTTTTTTGGAAGCTGAACGTCTGATGTGGAGTGCAGGAAGCTCCTGCAACCAATCGAAAGCCGTGCCTCTGTTGTCAAACATTTTGGAAGTCTAATGGGCTTCCGGAACGGATTGTGTTTGACAACCGAGGTTGACTGTATTTTTCAAAATGATGGGCCGGACTGTGATTGATTCTCTGTTAAACATCTGGGTAGTTCCAGATGAGCACCTTGAACAAGTTGGAAGAACTTTGAGAGCTTAAAGAAGAAAAGTCACTTGGATCCAGAACATTTGGAGCAATAATTGGCCCCGAGACTATGAAAAGCTGATGTCTCTGGATCACGTTTGTCAGTTTTGTTGAATTAATTAAGCTAAATGGTTTTAACTGGATTTTGAATAAATGTGCAGTTAATTGTCACTGTTTTGAATTTTATTGTGCTATTATCTTCCTTAAGTATAATGCTTCCTTCCATATAATGCTCTGTATAGCTGAATTCCTGCTTTTATAATCATGTAAGCCTTAGTCCCTTAACAGAGGGTGTGTGTGTGTGTGTGTGTGTGTGTGTGTGTGTCAGAGAGTGAGGGAAATTGATGTGTAAAGCAATATTTTATCATTCAAACAGGTGGCTGAATCTTTATTTGTTACCGGTCATAAAAGGAAACTAGAAGAGGATGATATGTTTCAGGTACTCACCGAAGATTCCTCTAAGGTGCTTGGGGAGGGGTTGCAGTGGTAAGTAGACAACAGAATATCAGTGATTGTATTTGGACTTTTTTTTATTCTTTCACAGCATGCATCAATCTGTCTCTTCCCCAGGTCAAGGATTTTTGAAATGTATGAAGAGGAGAAACCCTATAGTACCAGCTTTCCTGCTCTGTCTCTGCTTGGGTGTGCTTGTATATTGGAGTTCTTGTGAGGCAAGACAGGTTTTTTCAAATGGCTCAAGTATCAGAATTGCCTTGGATTGCATTTAAACTGATTTCCGCCTTTCTCTGTGTTGCGGAAAGTACCGTAACCATTTTGATAGATCTCTCAATAACTTTGTAAGTGCGGGCCTATTCTGACCCTGCTGTTTTATAGGGTCAACTTGTCCTTGCAGGGAAAAGCAAAACAACTGACACTTGACTGCTCTCATAAGCTCAGAAGAAGGCCTTCTCTTTTCCACAAAATTACTACAGTTCATCTTATGTTTCTGTACAGTTGATACATGAAAGCGATCATTTGTGGACTGATACTTGTCTTTCCTTTCTTTCTCTTCATTTCTTTCTCCTCTCTCTGCCCCCTCCCCTTCAGCACCTTCACTCATTTTTATTTTATAGGTACTGGGACAGAGAAGTGCAAAAGGCAAAAAAAGGAAGCGAGGATGCCACATTTAACAAAGGCAATTATACTTTGCTACTGGAAATCTTATCTACTTCTGGGATTTTTCACGCTGATTGAGGTAATGCAATGCAATGAAAGAGATGCGCTGTAGGATTCAATAGAAATCATAGAATCATGTAGAGTTGGAAGGGACTAATGAGGATCATTGAGGTGCAAGCCTTTGCAGATGCAGGAATAACAGGGATCGAACCTGCAACCTGGGCATGATCAGCACCAACGCTCTGACCAGCTGAGCTGTTTTGCAAGGCAGAATTCGGTTGGATGGTCCTGCTTCTCTTCCTCTCCCCTTTCCCTCAAGCCTCTGCTGCTGAAATCCCTCCTCCCCTTTCCAAGCCTCGGAAACCCTTGCAGCTTTCTCTTTAAATGCGGAAGACAACAAGTGGTCTAGAGACACTAGCCGCAAGCGGTACTCCTCTGTGTATTTTTGGTTTAGCGGGCACTAATAAAGCTGTTTTTCTGCCTTCAGGCAAAGCTGCAGGCTCAGCTGACTTCAGTTTGGCCCTCAGTTTGCTTGCTTTTTTCGCTAAGGAAGTGCCACATTTACACAATACCTTTAAAGAGCTATGATCCCACTTTAAAACCTTCGTGGCTTCAAGTGGCTGTAGTTGTCAAGGATGCTGAGAGACCCCATTTCCCTTTCGGGGCAGAGTGTTTAGGAACCAGTCCTCCTTCTTAGGAAACTGGGATTTGTAGCTGTGTGAGGGGAATAGGGGGTCCCTAACAATTCTCAGGGACGCGGGGTGGGCGCTGTGGGTTAAACCACAGAGCCTAGGACTTGCCGATCGGAAGGTCGGTGGTTCGAATCCCTGTGACGGGGTGAGCTCCCGTTGCTCGTCCTGCTCCTGCCAAACCTAGCAGTTTGAAAGCACGTCAAAGTGCAAGTAGATAAATAGGTACCGCTCCGGCGGAAGGTAAACGGGTTTCCGTGTGCTGCTCTGGTTCGCCAGAAGTGGCTTAGTCATGCTGGCCACATGACCCGGAAGCTGTACGCCGGCTCCCTTGGCCACTAAAGCGAGATGAGCGGCACAACCCAGAGTCCGTCCACGACTTGGACCTAATGGTCAGGGGTCCCTTTACCTTTACCTTTAACAATTCTCTGCGCCTGTAATAAGCCACAACTCCCAGAATTATTTTGGGGGCAGCCATAGTTGTTTAAAGTGGTATCATAGTGCTTTCAACCTATAGTGTGAATGTGCCCGGTGACCTTCAAATGCAGCAGTCATAGTGCTGAGAGTATGCCGATGTTGTCCCACATTTAACCACAGCAGCCAGGTAGGTCCTATATTCCCTTTATAGCCTGTAGTCCCAAGAGGCAACTGTTCGTGTCATTTTTGGTAGGGTGTGGACAGATGAGGGCTCCTAGACAGATTATTTTCAGAGAGCTAGTGTAGCACCACAGCAAACAGATTGTGCTATGAACCTGAAAGTTCCAGGTTCAAATCCTGGCATTGCTTTGAATTTTCCAGGTAAGCATCTTTCCCCCACATTCTGACTCGCGCTCTTCAAACTACACCATTGTGTCTTAAGCACGTAGCAAAGCTTAGGTGCAAATGACCGGTGTAGGACGGTAAAAAAAAAATAGTCCCATGTTGTGCAGAAACATGTTCTATTATCTACGAAACAGTGGACTAAGATGGTTTGATGTTTGCTGGTTAAGATGATTCCGCTTTTGAAGCAAGTTAAAATGAGACGCTACTCTCTTCTGGAGGAAGATTTCGCTATTATGATTCTGCTGTGTTTATTAAAAGCCTCTCCCTCCACCCCCGCTTTTCTCCCCACTCTTTAGGAAACGCTCAAATTAATCCAGCCTATATTTCTGGGAATGATTATTGCTTATTTTGAAAACAGTGGCTCGGATGTTGCCTTGAAATACGCCTATGCCTCCGCAGCTGCCTTGTCCGTGTGTACGCTGGTTTTGGCCATCTCTCACCACTTGTATTTTTATCACGTACAACGTGCCGGCATGAAGCTTAGAGTGGCCATGTGCCACATGATTTATCGCAAGGTGGGTAATATATTTCCTTTATCTCAATAAACAGGGCGCTTAAATATGTGGGGTTCTTGCCTGGCTTTGCATATGCTGAAGCAACTCCCTTTTAAAACATATGCTTGAAGTTGATAGCATTAGGAACAGGGGGGGGGGGGAAATCCATGGATAATATTTGGATTGTGATTAGGTTTTGTTTTATTTGACTTATTCTGCACTGGGTCTTTGTTCAGAGATGAGGCTCTGAGGGCTGACTTTTTGAAGCAAACCACTGCAAGCTGGGAGAGGCCTTGGCAGCCATTATACACACTCCTCGACCTTTACAGGGACACACCAAAAGAGGCTAAGAAGAAAGATTTAACTGTCAAGGTCCAGGAATGTGGGCTGATGCTGGGAGGATGAATACAAACCCAGGGTAGTAGTAAATCAGTTTCCAGCGGCTTCTTGTTTGTGAAATGGTGGGCCTAAATTTTGTTTTCATTCTTGCCCTTGAACTCAGGAACTTGAACCTTCACTCCCCACCCCAAATGTCTCTGACAAAAAATTTCCTCCTGTATTTGCAGTATAAGACATGGGTAGGGCTGAGCGATATATCGTCCAAAACAGGTTTGAAGTCCATATTGTGATATCGGTTTCATAATTTTTGACCTGGCAATATATCATGAATCATGATGTGTGTTTTTGTGCTATGCAAAAATCAGAATGGGGGGAAATCGGCGAAGCCAGCCAATGCCTCTCCATAATTCCATCCTTATTTCAGACATTATGATATATCAATATATTGCAATGTTTAGGTGGTGGTATGTTGGTGTTGAAAACTAAATATTGCCCAAGCCCACATGGGTGGAATACATTTTCTTTTCCCTGTTAGTGGCTGCATTCCCTTAGGGTTGCTCTGTTGGGTCAAATGTTGATGGTTAAACCAGCAGTGGCCAGGACCAGAAGGGGCTGGGGCCATTCTTTTTCTCTTTCATGCCCCACCTAGCAAGTTGCTGACAGACGGACCGATCGCTGTTGTCTGAACTGATCCCTTGCAGAACTTATAAGGTTGTCCCAAGGGAAAGAGATATTGCTAAAGATCTAGGACTGAATTAAAATAGCATGCTTTTTTTTGGCAAAGAGATTGGAAAATTGGGATGGAACACACTTATGAATGAAAACATGGGAAATTGGCATGGATTGGAACTGGACCCCACCCATTTTCTAGTAGTTTTGCTAACTGGTCTTGAAGGGGGCCGGACTTTGGTCCTTTTTATGAGCCCTGAAGCAGGGTAAAATCCAGCTGTTTACCTAGGCATTGCTGTGATCTATGGTGGGAGATGCTCTCCCCATGGAACCAGTTTATCATTATTCATGTAAGGTGCAGCTAGCTAGCAACTTAGGCCTCTCTCTCTCTCTCTCTCTCTCTCTCTCTCTCTCTCTCTGTGTGTGTGTGTGTCTGTCTGTCTGTCTGTCTGTGCTGGGTTGGAACCATAGTGTATGCATATGTGTGTGTGTGTGTGTGTGTGTGTGTGTGTGTGTGTGTGTGTGTGTGTGAGCTGTGTCTCTAGTCGTCTTGGTAAAGCTGCATTTGTTTTTAGTGCATTTCTTGATACCTGGGAAATCATCCCTTAGGAGTTATCTTGTAATGGAGTAAGCACATGGCTTTCTTGTACATAAACATATCTCTGAGGTATTAATTTGCCCTTCCAGATGAGATAACTCAAGTCCGTTATGGGATTTAAAAAAACAATAAAATAGCCTTTACATTGAACGCTGCTTGTGGAGAGTAAAAACCAGTTTGGTGGGGAAAAGACAAATGGGCTTGTGTTGTGCTCTTATCGCTTTATTTTTAGTAATGCAATTAGTTTTTTCTGTTTGATCTTCCCACATTGCAGAAGTCCTGGAACACACTAAGCATAGGTCTTTGTCAAACTGTGTATGGGGGGGAGGTGTTTGTGGGGAGGAAAGTGGTTGCAATTTTCTCCACTTCCACCGGCACACTGTGTGCTCACCATTAAACCATGGTTAATCTTGACCATGGTTTAAAGTGACATGTGAGAGGCATTGTTATGTGTCGTTTGAGGTTGGAATTGGTTTTAGTTTTGAAAAACAACTTTTGGATAATGATGAGATCAGGGTAGTTTACGGTGCGTCATTTGAAAGATAGAGGTTTGTCCTTGTGAGTCACGTTGCCTCACTTTCAAATTGTTTGGAAAAAGTAATGTTGACAGGATGTGTTGGAGGAATGATGCTGATTTATAAAGCACATCACGGTTTGGTGGCGTTTTGCTTAGAAACCTCAAAGACCAGGATCTGGACACAGTGAACTGTGTACACAGATTGGCTTCCATAGTTGGCCTGGAAGTCAAGGACTATTGAGTACAAGGTGTTCCTCAGTAGAAGATCCCGACAATGCGCTACAGCATAGATATGCACAATAAGAAGCTCTGTACTTAAAATGTTGCCAGTATTGTCATGTGAGAGGTGCAGGAAGAGAAGCTGGCTTCATTCCCAGTCCTTTACTTTCTCTAAAACAAATCCCACAGAAATCCTTTCATAACAGTAGAAACCTTCAACAGTTACGTTCTTCTAATGCAGGAACTTATCGCCCATGTATGTTTTGAAGATACACCTGTTTACACAGGCATTCTCTTAATCTTTCAACCTGCGCCTCATGTTTTAATGGGATTGTTTTGTGGCTTATTTAAATTATGGATGTTTATAATACCTGTGCAATTGGTCTTTAAACTTGTAAACCACTTGGGAGCCTATTTTGGTGGTTTATAAGGGCAAAAGAGCTTGCTTGATAAGCCAGAGCCTCATCTAGTTCAGTATTCTCGGGGTTACCAACCAGATATCTGTGGGGAGCCTGCCAGCAGAACCTGAGTGCAACAGCATGCACTCCACCTGTACGATGTCCAGCAAGTGATATTGACAGTGGGCCATCATGGCTGGTAGCCATTGATAGAGTGTTAGCTTTCATGAATTTGGCAAAACGCCCTTGAAAGCCATCCCAAGTTGGTGGTCATCACTATCTCTTGTGGGAGTCAGTTCCGTAGTTCAACTGTGTGAAGTAGTTTCTTTTGCCAGTACTGAATCTTCCATCTTTACTGGAGTTCTAGTATTATGGGTTATATGAGACATTTCTCTAGCCACTTTCTCCCCACCAGATAGAATTTTTGACACCTCTACCATATCCCCTCTCCTTCCTCACCTTTTCTCTAAAGCAGGGTGGATAAAAATCAATGCTTTTAAAATCAATCAATCAATCAGATTTTTAAAAAAGTTTGAATCTGATTTTTAAAATAAAATGCTTTTGGAGTAAAAATCTTTCTAAAGTTTTCTATTTAAGTTACATTATAGTCCAAAGGCTATTCATCAGGAAACAAGGCTTGTTTTAAGTTTTTCATGTGTGCTGAAACTCAGTCTATGTTTTTTTTTAATTGTTTAACCACATCAGTTAACAAACATGGATACATTTGATTTAAATCAAATCTACCTTGCTCTAAACTAAGAAGTCCTCACAGGGGACATGGTCCATCCCCTTGATCATCTTGGTTGCTCTTTCTGGACCCTTTGTAACACTACAATTGCCTCTTTTTTTTAGATGAAGTGACCAGAGCTGTACATAGTTTTCCTTTTTTTTTTAAAAAAAAAAGAAAGATATTTATTAAAGTTTTCAAAATGTTACAAAAAGAAAAAAGAAAAAGAGAAAATACAAATTAAAAACAGTTAAAAACAATTCAATCTTTCCGTATCTTATCTTTCATTTGCTTGTTCCCCAGACCTCCTCACACCTCCCTTTTTTGTATTCCAGTTCAATTAGTTGGTTCAGCAAATCCTTTCCCTCTTTGTTTTTATCCTAATCTTTAATCTTAATATATTATAACTTTAGATTATCACCTGTTAACAATCCATTTTTACACATTCCTTTATGACATTACTGCTAAAAACCACTTAACGTCAATCCAACACCATTCTAACATTCATTAATTTTGCAGTATTTCTGTAGATAGTCTTTAAATTTCTTCCAATCTTCTTCCACTGACTCTTCCCCCTGGTCTCAGATTCTGCCGGTCATTTCCGCCAGTTCCATATAGTCCATCACCTTCATCTGCCATTCTTCCAGGGTGGGTAGATCTTGTGTCTTCCCAGAGCTGTACATAGTTTTCCAAGTGTGGTTTACACCATAGATTTGTATAACGGTACCACAATATTAGGGACGCGGGTGATGCTGTGGTCTAAACCACTGAGCCAAGGGCTTGCCGATCGGAAGGTCAGCAGTTTGAATCCCCGTGACGGGGTGAGCTCCAGTTGCTCGGCCCCTGCTCCTGCCAACCTAGCAGTTTGAAAGCACGTCAAGTGCAAGTAGATAAATAGGTACCACTCCGGCAGGAAGATAAACGGCGTTTCTGTGCACTGCTCTGGTTTCACCAGGAGCGGCTTAGTCATGCTGGCCAAATGACCCAGAAAAACTGTCTGCGGACAAACGTTGGTTCTCTCGGCCTGTAAAGCGGGATGAGTGCCACAACCCCAGAGTCATTCGCGACTGGTCTTAACTTTCAGGGGTCCTTTACCTTTACCTTTTTTTTACGCGGCCACAGAAGAAGATACTTGATTCATACAACTCTAAAGTTTGCATCAAACATCTTCTGGAATAGTAACCTTAAATAGTAACAGACTAAGTCTGGAGAAGATTGTGAACAAAATACCCTACAATGCAACTAGAGAAATTAGACTTCGCTCTCTCTTTCTCTTTCTCTCTAGGCACTTCGTCTGAGCAATGCAGCCATGACAAAGACTACAACGGGCCAGATTGTAAATCTTCTATCAAATGATGTGAATAAATTTGATCAGGTAAGGCCCAGTATTGATAGCGTGGAATTCAGATAGTGGTTTGCTTCGGGGAAAACAAGCCACAATCAGGTTTATTTCTTCCACACTCTAGGAGGGATTAGTGAGTCGGGAGTCATCGGCATGTTCACAGTAAACCACCCATCACGATTTAACTTGAAGCACCCAGTGTCATGACAGTATTGAGCACCCAACTCTAGGGGTGCTTTTAGCACCTTGTTCTTTTATATGGTGAACTCTCTTCTGAAGAAGTGCTCACATTGAGGGCTTGTCCACACTTCTGTTTGCTCCATGCCTAGAAAGCATGGGTTCTTATTTAAATATGCTCTCTGTTCCTGTTTTTGAAAATGCAAATAATAATAATAATAATAATAATAATAATAATAATAATAATAATAATAATAGAAAGCATGGGTCCAAAAGGTTTTCTCCTTGTCCTGTTCGTTACCCATAGTACTAAATCGGAGCAAACATCAATCTGTAGGAAGCACTCTTTTTCTCTGTTGAGTTGTTATTATTATTATTATTAATTGAATTTATATACCACCCTATACCTGGGGGTCTCAGGGCGGTTCACAGAATAAAATCAAGATATAAAACCACAAAATACATAATAAATTTGAATTTATAATGAATTTGAAAGACACAGATATGTTCCTGTCACATTGACTTCCTTTAAAATTGGGGAAAGTAATCTTTTTCTCTTCTGATTTAAACTTCTATTTACAAAATTCAAATATGGAAAGATTATTTGCGGTGTATTTTGTTTTGAAAGATTCTGTAATGGAAATTTTATCTGTAAATTGTCAAGGCTAGTACAATAAAGCTGTTGTTGAAGATGATTGAAATGATTGTTTGCCTGCAGGCTAGTTCGCATAAAGACACACACAAACTGCTGCCTCCAGAATTTCTTCCATGTAGTCATCTTTGGTTCAGGGGTACCTGCAAATATCCGCATGCGAACTAGAAGTGGCTTTGTTTTCTTTCAGCCCCATCTACATGTTTATTTCTCGTTCGTGTAGAAATTTCTCCATGAGTCACACAGGCAGTGCTTTTTTCCTAAAAAAAATGTTTAGGGGTACTTTCATTTTGACTCAAGAACATCACCATTTTATAGTTCAAATTGGGAAAAATAAATGCAGTAAATGGACAAAAGTACAAAGTTTCACAAAATGTTTAGGGGTATGCATACCCCTGCGCCCCCCCCAGAAAAAAAACCCACTGGTCACAGGCATCTCTGAACCTAGGTATGATTGTGCAAGGGAATTTGCCATTGCTGCTAAAATATGTGAAATACAGTGGTACCTCGCAAGACGAATGCCTCGCAAGACGGAAAACTCGCAAGACGAAAGGGTTTTTGGTTTTTTGAGTTGCTTCGCAAGACGATTTTCCCTATGGGCTTGCTTCGCAAGACGGAAACGTCTTGCAAGTTTGTTTCCTTTTTCTTAAAACCGTTAATACAGTTGCAGTTTGACTTCGAGGAGCAACTCATAGCACGCGGTATAGTAGCCTTTTTTGAGGTTTTTGAAGACTTGGTGATTTTTGAAGCTTTTCCAAAACTTTCCTGAAACCGTGCTTCGCAAGACGAAAAAATCGCAAGACGAAAAAACTCGCGGAACGAATTAATTTCGCCTTGCGAGGCACCACTGTACACCTGCGACTTATCACACTCTGTTCTAATGGCTGCTTTCAGTAAATTTGTGTGTTTCTGTTTCTGCAGGTGACTATTTTTTTGCACTTCTTATGGGCCGGACCCCTTCAAGCGATAGCAGTAACGGTGCTTCTTTGGCTTGAAATTGGCCCCTCCTGTCTTGCGGGAATGGCTGTTTTAATTATTCTGCTTCCTCTGCAAAGCTGCATCGGGAGGCTGTTCTCATCGCTGAGGTAAAAGCATTTGGCGTCTCGTGATTTCTGTTTCCGAATGTTTAAAAGATCCCTAGAAAGAAACCTGCCAACTTCATTTTTGTTTTGGTTTGCATTTTGTTACGTGCACATTTTTACATAAAGTATTGGAAAAAAAGGAGTGTGTTCATTCAGTGGAAAGAACAGAAAGCACCAGAAGTCCTTGCTTGTATGATACAGGTTTTTGTTTTTTGTTTTAATCTTTACGACATTTTGTTTTTGGACTATTTGCTCGGGCAATCAAGAGTAAGGAACCTATTGCATTAGGGAGGATTACAATTTTTAACTTTTAAATTCAGAAAATGAGGGGTGCGAAAAGGTTATAACATGACTTGGGAATTCAAAAGATAGTTTGGTTAAATTAATATAATTTAGTTTTACTCGGTAAGTAAACTGTTTGTAAAATTGCACAGAAATCAGTGATTGCCCAAGTATTTGCAGTTATATTCTACATTATTTGTTTGCTTGTTTATTTATTTATTTAGCATTACCCAGCATTTTCAGAAGGTAAACTAAACATTCTTTGGTTTTTCCAAGAGCAGCGTATATGCTTTTAAAATCAAACATAGATTTACCAAACTTAATACTGTCCGATCACAAAAATAATAGTGGGTTTGAATTCGCTCACACCCAAAAGCACGTTTTTAAGACCGCTCATGGAATAAATTTGCAAACTTAAGCTTTCACTGCCTAAAATGACATACTCTGCCATTGCCTGCTCTTTTGGTTGACGTGTCTGCTTTAAAAGACAGTAAAGAAAAATGTGGTAAATTCTCAGTTACTGCATTTGTTGAGGATTTGAAAAGACAAATTGCCTATTATTATTATTATTTATTATATATACCCCACTCAACTGGCTGAGTTTCCCCAGCCACTCTGGGCGGCTCCCAATAGAATATTATTATTATTACCGTAATTATTAATAGTAATAGTAATAGTAATAGTAATAATAATACTAAAGTGATAAAACATCAAACATTAAAAACTTCCCTAAACAGGGCTGCCTTCAGATGTCTTCTAAAAGTCAGGTACAGTAGTACCTCGGGTTTCAGATGCTTCAGGTTACAGGCGCTTCAGGTTACAGACTCTGCTAACCCAGAAATAGTACCTCGGGTTAAGAACTTTGCTTCAGGATGAGAACAGAAATTGCGCGCCGGCGGTGTGGCAGCAGCGGGAGGCCCCATTAGCTAAAGTGGTACCTCAGGTTAAGAACAGTTTCAGGTTAAGAATGGACCTCCAGAACGAATTAAGTTCTCAACCCGAGGTATCACTGTAGTTGTTTATTTCCTTGACATCTGATGGGAGGGTGTTCCACAGGGCAGGTGCCACTACCGAGAAGGCCCTCTGCCTGGTTCCCTGTCACCTCACTTCTCGCTGTAAGGGAACCGCCAAAAGGTCCTTAGCGTTGGACCTCGGTGCCCAGGCTGAACAATGGCTGGAGACGTTCCTTCAATTCAACAAAACTAGTGACTTTCCACTCACCCATCAGCAACATTTATAGCCCAAATTGCATACCATTGCGTTTTAAGGTTCGGGCAGTATCTATTTAGATTCTCAATTTTATCCTTCCAACAATTCCATGAGGTAGGCATGGAACTTCGCCATGGCAACTTCAGTGAACATTATGACTGAGTGAGGGATTTTTCTTGGGTCCAGCATTTTTTCAGCCAAATGTCAGTCTACCAAAAAAAAAAGTTTTGTTGTTTTTTGCCGGGCTTCTTAAAACCCTGTGAGGTTTCCTTGTTGCAGAGGGAATTCTAGAGTTGTGTAATATTAAGCTTTTAGGTATATAAAGGTTATTCTAGATTGCAGAAAGGAGCAGGGCTGACTCATAATGGTTTTGAGGAAATAAATTTGGGCCCTGCCCGCATGGTGTCCCTGAGGGTATCTTTTACTTCCTTCTACAAATGCAACCAGCATATTCATGCCAATAGGGGAAAATGAAGTTCTGTACTTTGAGAGGAAATGTCAGAAGGGGAGAGGACTATGGAGGCAAGGACCAGGAAAATATTTGAGAAGAAAGAATGGTAGCTCTTGGTGGACCTTCTTGTCCACCTTCTTGTCTTTGTGTCTCGGGCAAGATACCCTCAGTGTGGACCCATAACCCACTGCATGCCACCAGCTTCCCCATGGGGAATTTTCCAGAAGAACGAGGATGGCAGACAGCGATAACGCCAGGTACCTGACCCGGTTTTAGCTGCTTTGTCCTGCCTCTTCTCAAAGCCATCTGCCACCAACTGCACTGTGGAGAGGTTCTTGAAAAATTAATGTTTTTTGTTTTTATTTTTAGTATACCACCCTATACCCGCAGTTCTCAGGGTGGTTCACAGGATAAAATTACAATATAAAATCACTGATAATACACAATCAAAACAAAAACAATTCAATTCAAAAACCCTCATGAAAATTCCTCAGCCTTTCAGTATGAATTTCTCCTGATACGCAACTTTTTATATTCAGCTTTGAATAATGTATACATTTTTCTGTGAGCAATTTCCTCTAATCAAATGGATTTTTAATGTTATTTCACTAATATGTTCATCTTTATGCACGCTGCCTCCTAATATATGCATTTTTGTAAATGTCTTTGGGTTGGAGGACTGCATCACACAATTCAGATTTTTTAAAAATTCCAAGGGCATGGTATTATTTGTGCCCTTTGCTGTCAACCTTTAAGCTGCTTCAGAAAGGATGGCAATGGCACCCACCTGAGAGGTGCCAGAACTGACATCTGACTGGAAAAAAGCCCTGGATAGCCGAAAAAACTTTCCCTCATTCATTCATTCATTCATTCATTCAATGTATATCATTTATATCCCACCTTTCCCTCCATGGAGCTCAAAATGGCTTTTGTGGTTCTCTCCTGTGCTATTTTTCCAGAAAAAGAGGTGCCAGAACTTACTATGAATGCCTTTGGTTATCATGGCAGTGGCACACACTTGAGACGTGCCAGAACAGAGTTCCTGCAAGTTCTGGCTAAAAAAAAGCCCAGGTTCTTTTCCATCCTAATTTAATTCCTACAACAACCTTGTGATATAGGTTGGTCTGAGTGACTGGCTCAAGGTCACCCATAGGTGTATTGGAACAGCGTCAAAAGCTTAAATGATTCTCTAATCTTAGGTAAACAGTTCACTAAACAGTTATTCATTAGCATTCGTACATTCTTTCCGCTTGGAAATAACCTATGGATGTCTGCGGAATAACCATTAACCATTTTGGGGCCCATATCCTAGAGGATGTTTTTTAAAAAAGACAAAAACCAAAAGCTACAAATGGTTTGATTGCAACTTTAATAGTTTCCTCTTGAAATTGCAGGAGCAGAACAGCAGCCTTCACAGATATAAGGATCAGGACCATGAATGAAGTCATCAGTGGAATGCGGATAATTAAGATGTATGCTTGGGAAAAGTCATTCGCTGATCTTGTGAACAACATGAGAAGGTAATGTTGAACACTTATCCAAAGTTATGGACAGGCAGCCGTGCCACCTTCTGGTTTGCTTAGTTTTTTTGTTTTTTTTAAAAAAACAGCTATATAGGAGTTTAATGATATGTCTTCTTCCATGTCTCAAGAAAAGATTCCAAGAATTTTTTTTGGAGGACGTAAAACAATTATCTCGATGTGCCTGAATAGCCTGTTTCTTTCTTGCTTATGCAATGGTAACATATATTTCTGTAAGTAGTGGTGATGTAATAATAATTACGGTTGCCGTATGCGGTAACTTAAACATATCGTCGTCTTTAAAACCTGAGAGAAGTACAAAGCGGGACACAGCATATTTTCAATTTGTCATACCCTGAGAGCTCAAAAATGTGCTCCAAAAGAGCAATCCTATATATTGTATAAGCTATCAGGTATTTTCATAGAATTGTAGGGATCCTGAGGCTCCATTCCCTTTTTTTTTTAACCTTTTTTGTTTTTAAAATAGAGATATATATAAATCCAACCACAGGAAATGAAATATTGCTCCTGCTATGATCTTTCTCCTCTCTTGTTTATTACTAAATGCGATTAGAACAAAAGGACTTCTAATGCACTTCTCTCTAGACTGATTTATCGTGGTGTGTGTTTAAAATACGTACATCTCAGAAGATCTCTTTATGCATTGAATGTATTGTTATGTGCCATGAAAATAAATACTTACTAATCAACTCTGTGTTACTATTACTATTATTATTATATTCAGGAAGGAGATCTCCAAGGTTCTCAAGAGTTCTTACCTTCGGGGAATGAACCTGGCATCTTTCTTCGTTGCCAGCAAAATCACCGTGTTTATGACCTTCATGACTTACGTGTTGCTGGGCAATCAGATCTCCGCTAGTCGGGTGTTCGTTGCAGTGTCTCTCTATGGTGCCGTGAGACTGACAGTTACTCTCTTCTTCCCAGCGGCTGTTGAGAGAGCGTCGGAAGCAATGGTCAGCATTCGACGAATCAAGGTATTGTGTAAGAAACAAAAGTGGATGTTCTCTGGATATGTTTAATTGCAGCATTACAAATCCACAAAACTGCCAGACCACTTTTTTTTTTTTTGCAAGTCTCCCTCCTGTATCTATGTTAGTCCTTTGTGGCCTCTTAGAGAGAGCAACTACTTTCAAGTGGAAAGCATACTGCTGGTGGTCAACAAAAGAAGTTCAAGACAGATGTAAAAAAATGTAGTATAAACACCATCAACTGGGAAACACTGGCCTGGGAGCGCTCCAGTTGGAGAACAGCCTTTACCAAAGGTGTCATGGGTTTGAAGACACTCAAACTCAGGACAAAAGGGAGAAACGTGCTAAGAGGAGGGCATGCTTGGCAAACCCTCACGGGGATCAACTTCTGCCCAGAAACCTGTGTCCCCACTGTGGAAGGACATGTGGATCCAGAATTGGCCTCCACAGTCACTTATGGACTCACTGTTAAAGACCGTGTTGATGGAAGACAATCTTTCTTGGCTACAAGTGGTCGCCAGAGAAGAAGATGTTAGTCCTTTGTGGCCTCTTAGAGAGAGGAAGCACACAAACATTTTGTCAGCATTTCTTGCCAATTTACTTGGCAGGATCAGTCTACCAGGCCACCAAATTCAATAGGGCCACGCACCTGCCAATCTCTCAACATCGCTGTGGCAACAAGCGATTGCGTTGTGTTGCTCGCCGGTCAAGTACCAGCCAGCCGGCTGGCTGTCAGGCGCTTGGGAACTACAGCACAAGGGATGCTTTGAGAAGTGCTAGGCGCAGGGCTCACGTAGCACTTCTTTCTCCCCTCCCCATGGTGGCAGGGAGAGAAGAAAAAGAAGTCTGCATTTTCCAAACTTGGAGGGAAAAGGAGCTTGCTTTGGCTGTGAGTGTCAGTATGTGGCAGCCAAACCAAGGAAGATTTAACCTCTGTTAAATCAGCCATTTAAATTTGACCAAACTGTGGGAGGCAGTGGAAGACAGGAGTGCCTGGCTTGCTCTGATCCATGGGGTCATGAAGAGTTGGACACGTCTAAACAACAACAAAATCAGCCATTGAGCAAGGGTTAAATTCTGTTTTCTGGCTGGGGGTACCTGTTCCTTGCTGGGAGCAGGCATCCACAAGCAATGTAGAATTGAACCGTGTCCTCCACATCAGCTGACTTCACAAGTAAAGCCAGCTGACTTGTGGTTTGACCTCATGGGTGAAGTTAGATGGTTTGTGGATCATAAGTTTCCCATCCATACAGTTGGTGGGCACCACTGGGAGAAGCAACGCTTACATGGCTGTCAGACCCCTAAGTCTCTGCTATGTTCTGCTTCATTTTAAAATTTGCCTTTGAAGCAGCCTTGGGTCAGCTATTGATCTAGTTCTCATTATTAATGTTTTGTGGGGGGACGCCCCTACTTTGCATGATTTGTAGAATGAAACATAGGCGCCGACCCATGGGGCCTGAGGGGGCCCGAGCCCCCTCAAAAATTTTATTTTTTGTGATCATGGCGGAGCTGCCGCCTAGGGAGGAGGGGAGAGGGGGCTGGCGGGGGGGGGCAGGCGGTGAAGGGGGCTTGGCTGCGCTCTCTCTCTCTCTCGCTCTCTCTCGGGCTCTCTCTCTCTCTCTCTCTCTCTCGGGCTCTCTCTCTCTCTCGGGCGCTCTCTCTCTCTCGCTCTCTCTCTCTCTCGGGCGCTCTCTCTCTCTCGCTCTCTCTCTCTCTCTCGGGCGCTCTCTCGGGCTCTCTCTCTCTCTCTCGGGCTCGCTCTCTCGTCTCTCTCTCTCTCTCTCTTTCTCTTCTCTCTCTGGGCTCTCTCTCTCTCTCTCTTCGGGCTCTCTCTCTCTCTCTCTCTCGGCGCTCTCTCTCGGGCTCTGCTCTCTCTCTCTCTCGGTCTTCTCTCTCTCTCTCTTTCTCTCTCTTCTCTCTCTCGGGCTCTCTCTCTCTCTCTCGTCTTCTCTCGCTCTCTCTCTCTCTCTCTCGGGCTCTCTTCTCTCGGGCTCTCTCTCTCTCTCGGCTCTCTCTCGGGCTCTCCTCTCTCTCGGGCTCTCTCTCTCTCTCGGGCTCTCTCTCTCTCGGGCTCTCTCTCTCTCTCTCTCCGGCTCTCTCTCTCTCGGGCTCTTCCCGCCCAGGGCTTGTGGGCATCTGCTTCTGAGATGAAGATGGAGGTGACTTCCCTTAAAGTCATGGAATCATAGAGGTGGAAGGGACCCAAAGGTCATCCAGTCCAACCCCCAGCAATTCAGGACTCACAGCTAAAGCATCCCTGGCAGATGCCCCCCCCACCTCTCCCTAAAAGCCCCTTCCCCTGTCTGACTGCTCTCACACCAGAAAGGCCTTTCCTAATGTTTTTGTGGAATCTCATTAAGCCTACAGAGCTATATATGCCAAATGGCATCTACTTATTCTTTCCCTTGAAGATACATTGATTTGTTTGTTTACTGTGGTTTCGATCAATACTTTCCAAAGATCTTTACATTTGTCCAATGCATGATCTTTGTCTGAAAGCTCATGGGTTGCAGGAGTTGTCAACTGGAGGTTATAATTTTTGTCCTTCCAACTGTTAGGAAATTACAGGGGGGACATCTTTAAAGTTGTTAAATGTTGCAAATATTATGCCTGAATGTAACCCTTTCAACTTGAACTCTCAGGGAAGTTACCTAGATAAAATCCTGTAACACAATGTATCAGCCTTGACATTTGCGAGATGTTAAGGGGGGGGGCAGAGCTGCAGCACCGATCGCCTTTCCGGTGGGGGAGGGGGCAGAGGAAAGACAGGAAGCTGTTTCCCCTGCAGAGTTAGACCCCCTTGGCTGCGTGGCCCTCGGGTCCCTTCAAACTCCTGGGCGTTTTGCTGGTGGGGGGCTGCGTGGGGGCCTGGGCGATGTCAGAAGATGGAAGCTTGCAGGCCTGGTTGTCTGTTGGGGGCAGCAGGAAGAGGCGGAGGCAGGATGTGCAGCCCCTGCCTGGCTTTCCTGTGCGCAAGGAAGCGGCTGGGGGGGGGGACTTGGCCGCTGGCCTTTGTTGCGGAGGCGGGCTGTGGGAACGCCAGTCCAAGGGCAGCCTCTGGGGTCTGGGTGCTGCTGCCTGTCTCCTGCCATGGACTTGGCGGGGGGGGGGCTGTGCTATTGGGCTGGAGAGACTTAACGGGGGCTGCTCTCCCAGCCAAAGCTGACCCACAAAATTGCAACCCAGTGTGTGTGTTTGTGTGTGGGGGGGAACCAGCCTGCACAGGGTAAGCCCCGATGGGCTCCTGGGCTCCTTCTGATGATCCCACCTTTCCTCCATGGAGCTAAAAAATGGCTTTTGTGGTTCTCTCCTGTGCTATTTTTCCAGAAAAGAGGTCCAGAACTTACTATTGAATGCCTTTGGTTATCATGGCAGATGGCCACACACTTGAGGACGTGCCAGAACAGAGTTCCTGCAAGTTCTGGCTAAAAAAAAGCCCAGGTTCTTTTCCATCCTAATTTAATTCTCTACAACAACCTTGTGATATATGGTTGGTCTGGTGACTGGCTCAAGGTCACCCCATAGGTGTATTGGAACAGTGTCAAAAGCTTAAATGTTCTCTAATCTTAGGTAAACAGTTCACTAAACAGTTATTCATTAGCATTCGTTACATTCTTTCCGCTTGGAAATAACCTATGGATGTCTGCGGAATAACCATTAACCATTTTGGGGCCATATCTAGAGATGTTTTTTAAAAAGACAAAAACCAAAGCTACAAATGGTTTGATTGCAACTTTAATAGTTTCCTCTTGAAATTGCAGGAGCAGAAACAGCGCCTTCACAGATATAAGGATCAGGACCATGAATGAAGTCATCAGTGGAATGCGGATAATTAAGATGTATGCTTGGGAAAAGTCATTTCGCTGATCTTGTGAACAACATGAGAAGGTAATGTTGAACACTTATCCAAAGTTATGGACAGGCAGCCGTGCCACCTTCTGGTTTGCTTAGTTTTTTTGTTTTTTAAAAAACAGCTATCTATAGAGTTTAATGATATGTCTTCTTCCATGTCTCAAGAAAAGATCCAGAATTTTTTTGCGGAGGACGTAAAACAATTATCTCGATGTGGCCTGAATAGCCTGTTTCTTTCTTGCTTATGCAATGGTAACATATATTTTTGTAAGTAGTGGTGATGTAATAATAATTACGGTTGCCGTATGCGGTAACTTAACATATCGTCGTCTTTAAAACCTGAGAGAAGTACAAAGCGGGACACAGCATATTTTCAATTTGTCATACCCTGAGAGCTCAAAAATGTGCTCCAAAAGAGCAATCCTATATATTGTATAAGCTATCAGGTATTTTCATAGATTGAGTGGTCTGAGGCTCCATTCCCTTTTTTTTTTAACCTTTTTTGTTTTTAAATAGAGACGATATAGTAAATCCAACCACAGGGAAATGAAATATTGCTCCTGCTATGATCTTTCTCCTCTCTTGTTTATTACTAAATGCGATTAGAAGAACAAAAGGACTTCTAATGCACTTCTCTCTAGACTATTTATCGTGGTGTGTGTTTAAATACGTACATGTCAGAGATCTTTATGCATTGAATGTATTGTTATGTGCCATGAAAATAAATACTTTACTAATCAACTTCTGTTGTTACTATTCATATTATTATTATATTCAGGAAAGGAGATCTCCAAGGTTCTCAAGAGTTCTTACCTTCGGGGAATGAACCTGGCATCTTTCTTCGTTGCCAGCAAAAATCACCGTGTTTATGACCTTCATGACTTACGTGTTGCTGGGGCAATCGATCTCGCTAGGTGGTGTTTCGTTGCAGTGTCTCTCTATGGTGCCGTGAGACTGACAGTTACTCTCTTCTTCCCAGCGGCTGTTGAGAGAGCGTCGGAGCAATGGTCCAGCATTCGACGAATCAAGTATTGTGTAAGAAACAAAAGTGGATGTGTCTCTGGATATGTTTAATTGCGGCATACAAATCCACAAAACTGCCAGACCACTTTTTTTTTTTGCAAGTCTCCCTCCTGTATCTATGTTAGTCCTTTGTGGCCCTTAGAGAGAGCAACTACTTTCAAGTGGAAAGCGTACTGCTGGTGGTCAACAAA